TTCCAAGAAGACAGGAACCTAGGATTATTCCTGTAGCCATCAGTTGTTTCGGTCTATCTGTAAAAGATTCAAAAGTTAGATTCTTGATATGTTCTACAAATCTATTACAATCTGATATGACAAAACAGAGGTATCAGAGTTTTGCCCAATGGCCAGGGATGTAAAATTTTAAACTAGGTGTTTGTCTCAGAATCAAAAGAAAAAACATTTAAAGCAACAGAACAACTAACTGCTAGAAAATTAAAGGAAGACAAATGAACTCAGAGAGCATCGATGGCATTCATAACATTTGGAATTGTTAAAGCTTAAACCCATACCTCTTTGTTTCTTGGATTTATCATAACACTCTGTCTCATCCTCTGTAATACTATTATTTTTCTTTAGTCTGCATTTCCTGCCTTCCACTTCACATCCCCTGCAGTCTGGTTTGTCCCAACCCAGATGAACATCCCTTGTCTGGTCATACAACATATCTTCAAACGTTTGTGTTACTGAAATGTTTAATAACGTTCTGGTGCAATTTAACAAACTAACAGCACCATAATCAGAAGGAAAAGCTAGAACTTGGAATCCGGGGTTGCTTAAGCAAGGAATTGTGTGATATTCATCTCTATCTGGCATTTGTCCTTCGCCAGAACAATTGAAAATTGTGTATTCTTGAGGAATATTGATGTTAAGGCCGATTGTGTGTCTGTTGTCCTCCTGGAAGGGAGATGCAGATAAATTATTGGGAAGCTGCCGCGCGAGGCATCCCTGGGGATCGTATAACTGAATCCACTGCGCTCTGTAATCTATACGCTTTACGAAAAACTTCACGTTTCGCGACAGCTCTAGCACAGTTTGCTTTTTGTCTATGCAGGATAGTTCGAATCCAGGATAGCTGCAGTTTTCCGGTTGTTGCTGCCCCTTAAGTCGGAATGGGAATCGGATGGTAACGTGATTGCACTTTGTGGGTTGGCATTCATCTCTGGCAGCATGGAGCTCTGTAACCCTCACTATCAAGATAAAGCAAAAAAGCAAAAGAATCATCTTGAAGAAACTTTCCATCCCTGAAGTCTTTGAATCCAAGATTCAGTGTGATTTAGGATACAATTATCAGAACGGGAGAAGAAGCTGTGTACCTTATACAATGAGCATAAGGTTTTGGAAGGCGCAGGGAGGATTCGCGGACTTTTGACTTTTCAAAGTAGGAATTCCTTCATCATTAATTCTTCTATGAAGTTTCTGCCATGGCACAAATATTCCCCACTTTTCTCCAGGATTGGCACGTGGGTTGTGGAGTTGGAGCCTACCCCACACTTGTAATATCGTCCCCTCAGCGTCATCTCCCAATTACTTTAGTTAAAAAAAAATTTTTAAAAAAAAAATCTGTGTAGGCTGTGGGGTAGACACGCGGCAACTTGATGGAAACTACTTAAAAGCTTCTGATTAGAAATTTAGCTGTGCTGGGTGTTTTCAGTTGATTATTGCCCCACTAAATTAAGTTTAATGGAAGCTGCAAACTGGGTAACAACTATGTGAAGAAAATTGCAGGCTTTCTTTCTCCATTGAGGTTAAAACGACATGTTAGGTGAATCTACTATTCCAATCCTCTTAAAAATCAAAGTCAGCCAAAGCAGCGGTGTACCGTGCAGCAACTTGAAGGCTTCTTTATGTAGTCATCCCATCAGTTTAGACAATATGGATTCTAGGTGTTTGCTTTATTGCCTTTGAGAGCCATCTAGTTTTCCCTTGGTGCTATCTTCTTCTTCTGCATTTTTTGTGGGGGGGCTAATTGGGTCGTATCTGTTATCATCAGAGTTTTTCCTATATTATATCCTTAAGAAAACCTCATGCTCTAATACTCTAGCTTTAGGATGTTAGTTAGAGCCAAAGTTGTGTCACTCTTCGGCCTCATGGCCCTTGCTGTGTCTCTTTTTCCTGATACTTGTATGGCTGATTGCGTCCCTTCTTCCTGTGGAAACCTTACTATAGATTACCCTTTCCGATTAGGCACTGATCCTAAGGAGTGTGGTCGGCCATGGTTTGAACTAGTTTGCAAGAACAACCACACCACTTTGCCTTCCAAATTTAGTACATACCAAAATTTCTTAGTGGAGGAAATCTCTTATGTTAATTACACAGTTCGAGTGGTGGATGCCAGTCTCGATAGGAATAAATGTTCCATTCCCTACTACTCTTTTCTTAAATTTCAATGTTGGCCGTTTCAGGATGGGCCTTCATTTGGGGGTATAACTGAGAATAGCGTCATGTATGTTCTAAATTGCAATATGCCGATAAGCTCACCACTCCATGTGGATGCCTCTAATTGCACCAATAGCCCTTCCTCTCCGCACACCTACTTTTTTCTTTTCAATAACCAAACAAAGCTTTTGGATTTCAATGAATCATGCAGAATTGAAGCTCAGTTCCCGGTTATGCTATCCAATATTTCAGGCCTCTCTGCTTCTGATATTTACCTTCACATGCTTATGGGTTTTGAGCTGAAATATGGGCCTTGGTTCCTCTACAATAACGTGGAGAACTGCAGTAGTTCACTCAGTTTGCTTAAGAAGATGTAAGTATTCAAGAACTTATGACTATCTTTACTATATGCACTAGGGGATACCACCGATGTGTGGTTAGTAAATCTTAATCGTTATTTTTACTGAAGTATGCTTTTAATCAAACTTTATTTAGAATATATGTCATAACTTTGGGCAATGGGAAAATGAGAATAGTGTCAAGACAAACATTAGGAGCCAGTTAAATAGGAACAAATTCTGCTTTTTAGTTTTGGATATGTTAGCACTTTATTCATCAACCAGATAAAGCATAGCAAATTATTATTAATGAAATATAGGCTTCTATTTTTTTAGGTTTCTCCTACAGTCTTTCCCTCCAAATTCATCCAAATAATACCTTAACAAACCTTCGAACCCACAAAACAACAAACCACAAATATCCTAAAAAATTAAACATGGCCGTTATAACATGTTTCATCCCTTATTTCAAAACCCCAGGCTTATACTGTCAAAGTTGAAAATTTCATCTCGGACAGCATTGAAAACCAAAATATATAACGCCAGGACAAAACTACTTCAGACTTCAATTTTATTGCAAGCTATCAAATCCCATGAAATTCCATACACTCCCTGATACTCATTCATACATCAATAATCAATAATCTCATATATTAACATGATTTCAACAACCCAATAAAATAATCTCAGAATGATAATAATCTCACAAAATAATCGTAGAACTCACAAATCACAATTCAATTCCCAAATTTGCTTCATGGTCTGCGCATGGTTTTATTTACATGGAAAAAAAATCTATGAAATAGCAATATACCAAACGATTCACAAGAAAATTATATTAAGAACAGAAAAGAAGATCATGTGAGGAAGAAATAGGCTTGAGTGTGATTTTCCGTGAGGAAAATATCAGACTTTCATGCTCAATTCCAAACACAAACTAATAATTCAAAGAGAACTCACCTGTTAAATAAAAACATGAAATTTTATTCCAAAGAAATAATTGTTCTGTACAAGCTCTATCACTCTCTGCTTCTCATCTACTTTTCTCTTTGAACTTAATTTTTTTTCCTCTACTCTCTCTTTCCCCATCAATTTTTTCTGGAACTTTCTGGCTCCCTTTCTCCATTGGCCGGACCCCATTTTTTACTAGAAAGAAAAAGAAACCCAAACCCTTCACAATAATCTCAAATCCTAATCTCCAATTAAAGATAAAATCCAATATTATTCGGAATTGAAATCCAAAAACCCAACTAGGAATCTGGATAACTTCTTCTTTTAAGGTCAAATTCATACCTTAGTGCATTAGAGTTCCATTCCAAATCAAATTCAGACTCTTCTTCCTTGCAATGGGTCCAATCTAGTTCCCTCGATTGGCTGACCTTAGCTTCGAAAATCTCTCCATTTGATGTGGTGATTCAACCAAACTCAAGTGGAATTTGAGATAAAATCAAGAAGGAATCGAGAGAAGAGGCAGTAGACTTTAGTTTAGGAGACAACCGAACATAAAGAGTTCAGAGAAGTTAGGGTTGTTTTATTCAGCCAAAATTAGGCGACGCCGTTTCATGGATTTTTCATTAAATCCTCATCTTCTGTGCATACATTAACTCAATCCCTGGTCTTCTTATTTCATCAATTTGGTTCTGCAAGTCATAATTTCAAAGTCTTAACTCTCGGCGACCATGTCCAGTTTATTTTATTTCTTTTACCCAACTGATTTTCCATTTTTTCATTAAAGCTTTAAATCAAATTTATAGAAAATGAACTTTATTTGAAGCTTTGAGTAATAAATACCCAATTAAAATCAAGTTATGACATAACCCACATATATTTAATAACTATAATAAAATATCCGAATGATATTAATATCAAAACATTCTAATTCTCTCTTTTCTTCCTAACTTTAATAAGAGCATGCTCACATTATTAATTATTCTGCACACTTGAGGTCTGACAAATGATGATTTATGCATTCCATTTTTCGATGTCCTAAGTAATACAGAATCATAATCTAGCAATAGAAGACTTGAATTTCCTATTTCTATTAAAAGCTAATAAGGTTATCCATGTCATGGAAGAGTTTACCAAATCCAACAGTATATGAAATTTGGATTGAATGAGGCTAGTACATAAAAAAAATTTAATTTTTTTAAATGTATCAAGTTAAGATGGATAATGCACTTTTAAGATCATTCAAAAAAAAATTTGTCTCAACACTGTAACCATCAAAAAAAAAAAAAAAAAGGAACAACTTAATTATATACATAATACAGCCTTTCACGGTCTCTACCACTGTAAACAAAAAGAAGGGGAAAGGGGGAGGGGGGAGATCACAATAGCCACTTATCCCTGAGCACACAACCTACCATAAAATGTCACTCCCATGCCTACATAAATTTTGTACTGGCATTCCATTTAGGTATAAGAGTTACATCTAAACTACGAAATCTGGATACTATTTTGGTATCGATCATGCTCATGCAACTCCTCTCTCTATTACACATGCTACAATATGTGCACCAATAGAAATTAAAACTCTGGGCATGACATCCACTTTTAACCATCCAATCAAAATCCACTTAGCACCTTGGTCTTATATAAGGATGTATAAAAAGGACCTTTAAGACCACATTTTTTTTAACCTTTTAGTTGATATTAAGCTTGTATTTAAGGGCTGGCAATTGACTAAGGATTTAATTTAAAAAAAAACCTAGATCTCTAGCTACTCTTCGTTGATTTACTTGTATTTTTAAAAAATTATTATTAATTATAAATATATTTTTAAATATTTTTAAATATATTAATTCATAAAAAAGTGCAAATGACAAATATAAAAAAAGATTTAATCAATTTAATTTTTAAAATAAAAATAATTTTCCATAATTTATTACTATATTAATAAATTTAATAATGCTTAAGGCGTCGAACACCCTCAAGCCAATTGGAGACCAAAATACTTGACAGACATCCATCCATTCATTTTCTTCATTTATTTTCCGACTAAATTATTAGTTGGTACCTACATTTAGTAGATTAAACTTATTTTAGTCCTTTAAACTCTTATTATTATAATTTAAGCATTTAAGCTTTTTAAAAGTTTAAAGTTTGATGCTTGCATGTTATGATTTAAATTTAATAGTATTTAGAATGTTTAGGTTTAAATATTTTTTATAATTTAATTTTTAGGGAAATTAAGATTTAGATTTTTTAAAATTCAGTGGTTGAAGTGTTATGGTTTAAAGGTTTTTAAGGTTTAGTATTTAAGGTGTTAGGTTTTAGATTCTTTTAAGATTCAATATTTAGGGTTTAAGATTTAATAATTTAAATATTAAAAATTAAAAAACTTAAAAGTAAAAAATAGAGTTTAAAAAGTTAAAAAATATGAAAGCTATAGGGACCATCGCCCTAAAAGCATCATTCTAATAAATTATGAAAATTGCCTTAAAGAGGTAACTTAGTTGTTTAAAAGCTTGAGATTTTAAATTACAGATCTCACGTTCGAATCTTGAGTTGGGTAAGAAGGGTTTGGAAAACTTGGAGATCTATTTTTTCTCTCTATATATTATTAAATTGTTTGATATTATTATTTCTCTCCTTTATCATCTCCTCCTTAATTACCTCATCTCCATATTTATTCACATATTGTACGTTTTTCAATTCCTTACACTAAAACCATACCTTGTACATATCTTTGTATGAAACACCTTCAATTCTCTAGTTTGTTTCATCATCATACACTTATGTTATTATTATGCATTTATTTCAAGCATAACATAGTGCATGTATCTCTGTCCTCATTCCTTTTTTTCAAATTGATATCTTTTTCATATTATTTTACACTTTCATTACATTTTTGTGTCCATTTCACCTTTACTCTCTTATATTATCTTTGTTTGTATATGTATATATTTTGTAAATCCCTCTCTATATTAATTAGTAAATTATTTTTTAAAATTTTTTTATCCCTTATCTTCTCCTCTTTATTGTTCTTTGCTAATAATTTTTTACATGTATATCTTTCTATGATTATATATCTTTTCAACCTAATTTGTCTTTCTCTCTCTCTCATATATATATATATATAATATTAGAGATGTTTGCTAGTCAAAACATAGAATGTTTTTTGATACTTTATTTTTCACTTAACTTGAGTCCATCTCTCAATAATTTTTTCTGAAACTCCATCTCTTAGCTTCCCCCTCACATTTTCTATCATTCCATTTTATTCTTTATCCTACATATTATTCTTTCTTTTATAATGTTCCCATCTTTATCCTTTTCTTAGACATTTCATCTATCTCAACCTATCATTATATATCTTATTTTGACT